ATTGCGGATATCCCATGGACTAAGATGACCGAGGACCAGCTTGGACCGGAGACATTGAAGAGAGCCAGAAAACAGCTAGACGATGATCACTACGGTTTGGAGAAGATCAAGAAGAGACTTCTTGAGTACTTGGCCGTGCTCCGACTCAAGCAGTCTACCAACAGAGATGTCGAGCGCCAGATTGAGTCCTTGTCGAAAGAGCTCGAGGCATCCGATGGAGGCGATCTTGAGAAGGAGGTACCTGTTCTGTCCGAGACAGATCGAGTCGCTGTTGAGACAAAGCTGCACATGCTGAAGACTCGCCGCATGGGAGACAAGTCACCCATCCTCCTGCTTGTTGGTCCACCAGGCGTTGGTAAGACCAGCTTGGCACGATCAGTGGCCTCATCGCTCGGTCGCAAGTTTCACAGAATCTCTTTGGGGGGCGTTAGAGACGAGGCTGAAATCCGAGGCCATCGGCGAACCTATGTTGCTGCGATGCCGGGACTAATCGTCAGTGGTCTCAAGAAGGTTGGCGTTGCTAATCCAGTGTTCTTGCTTGACGAGATTGACAAGGTCGGAGGCGCCAATTTCCAAGGGGACCCATCCGCAGCCATGCTTGAGGTGCTGGATCCTGAGCAGAACCATACATTCTCGGATCACTACATCAACATCCCTATTGATCTGAGCAAGGTGCTTTTCATTGCCACTGCCAATTCTTTGGACACTATCCCGGCACCCCTGCTTGACCGGATGGAAACTATCTCTCTGTCTGGCTACACCACGGTTGAGAAGCGACACATTGCCAAGAGACACCTCATTCCCAAGCAAATCAGGGCGAACGGGCTTTCCGATGGTCAGGTTGTTCTGTCTGACGAAGTAATTGACAAAATTATCACGTCTTACACCAGGGAGTCGGGTGTTCGTAACCTAGAGCGTGAGCTTGGCTCGGTCTGTCGGTTCAAGGCTGTCCAGTTTGCGGATGCGGGCGATGCAGGCCGACTTGATGCGTACAACCCCGTGGTGAGCATGGACGAGTTGGAAGAAATATTAGGTATCGAGCGCTTTGACGAAGAAATCGCCGAAAAGCATGGCCGTCCCGGTGTTGTCACTGGACTTGTCGCGTATTCCACTGGAGGTCAAGGCAGCATTCTGTTCATCGAAGTTGCAGACATGCCAGGCAACGGCAGGGTCCAGCTCACCGGAAAGCTGGGAGACGTGCTGAAGGAGAGTGTAGAGGTAGCCTTGACGTGGGTCAAAGCCCATGCGTTCGAGCTTGGGCTGACCGCGGACCCCACCGAGGATATCATGAAGAACCGCAGCCTGCACGTTCACTGCCCGTCCGGAGCCATCCCGAAGGATGGTCCCTCGGCAGGTCTAGCACACACGATGGGTCTGATCTCGCTATTCACCGGCAAAGCGGTGCCTCCCAGTGTTGCAATGACCGGAGAAGTGTCGCTCCGCGGCAAGGTGATGCCTGTTGGTGGCATCAAGGAGAAGCTGATCGGTGCGCTGCGCGCCGGCGTCAAGACTGTTCTCTTGCCCCATCACAACCGCAAGGATGTCAAGGACGTGCCGCAGGAAGTCAGTGAAGGACTCGAGATCGTATATTTAACGTGAGTACTTTAAAATTCCGTTCTTGCTGTTGCATATTGCTAACACTTGACAGGCATATCTGGGAAGCTATCCGACAGGTGTGGCCCGATGCCCACTGGCCTGGTCAGCACACCCACTTCATCGAGAGCCGGCTGTAAGGGCTCTTAATTCATTCACTATATAATCCCAACACGACAGAATGGCCCGTGTAGATAGTACTTCTGCTTTGTTGTTTGTTCTCTTATTGTCCTTCAAAGCGCAGCGACCACTTTCCTTTACAAGCGTTAACATATCCTCTATTCCACACATATTTATGTCAGTTACAACCGAATACTATATTTATTTCACCCTGCTCATCCCAGACACAATGATAGTATTGAACACAAAGTAGGTAATATAATATAATACACGACGACAGCATCAATCACAAACTGTCTAAACCCAGCCAACAAATGATATACCAAACAAACAATTTCTAAACCAGCATATCAACGAGAAAGAGAAAATCACGACTTAACCAACGGCCTCTCATAATGCCCCAACCCCAAAGCCTTCCAAGTCGGCCTCCACGGCTTAGCACCCTCCAACAACTTCTTCGCATCCTCCTTATAGACCTCCCTCTCCTTCTCATCCGCCTTCATCCCCGCATCCGGCTTCTGCTTATCCTGGATCTCCTCCTGGTATTTCTGAGCCTTGAAGAACTGGTCCTTCTCCCATCTGCACACAAACACCCATATAGTCAGCATTGTTTCCACAACCCACCAATCCTTCAACAACAATGACAACAACAACAATATCAAACAGATACATAGAGAGGGTAACATACGGAGCCATATCCGTCGGCGCCTCGGGCCAAACAAATGCCTCCTTCATCTCGACCGTCATCTTCTTCTTAGACTGCGGGCGACGGATCTTTCCATATCCATAGCGACCCAGGGACTTCAACCTCGTCAGTTTCTGCTGTTCGACGAATGAGCGCACGCTGACGACGCCCACGCCGTACAGACGCTGCAGGTAATCGCGCATATCCAGTTTGTTGAAGTTGAGCGGCACGTAGAAGGTGGCGTAGCGGGGGGGAAGGAAGGGCGTGCGGATTAGGGCGATTGTGAAGTCGGGACTATATCAGTGATTTCAGATTGTCAGTCATCTGGTACTTGTTATTGGTAGGGGAATGAATAGAAAAAGGTTTGGTATGGAAAGTATAGGATGGCGTACAGGAAGATCTGCTTCCGTTGGGAGAGAGGCGCCGCGGGGCCGACCCAGTCGGCGGGCTTTTTGGGGAACTTGGAGAATCGTCGGACCATTTTGGGTTAATTGAATGTGTCCGATTAAGGTGTGGAAAGTGGTGACGGGGAGGGAGGGTTGTGATATTCGGAGGGAAGATTGATTTGATATGCCCGGCGGAAAGTTCGTCGGGAGCAAACGTGAAATTGCGCGGTTGGCCGCGTCGGGTGCCGTAGTGAGGTTTGGGTGTGGTTTTTGGTCGGATATTTTGAAAAAGGTCCTGAAGATAATTTAACTGAATGGGATTTGAGATTTTGGACAATCTAATATTTGGCTGAATGAGAAATATTTTATATTCGTCATGGTCATTACTATCATTTACTGGTGTGCTGCCTACTGCCCGTCTGATACTTGCAGGTTCCCAAGTCGCCGGGCACTCTCGTCCACCTCCTGCGATTGTTCGCGATCATCCTCCTCCCCTTCAGAGCCGGAGCCTTCTTCCTCTTCCTCTTCCTCCTCTTCGTCACTTTCCTTGTCTTCGTCGTTGTCGCCATTGGCGCCAACCTCCTTCATATAATTCTCCAGCTCGCGCGCCATCTTCCTCGAGAATCCTGACGCCTCAACTTCCACATCTAACCGCTTCCCGGGGTTCTGGATGAGCTGCTTCCTCGCATCCTTGAAGAAAGGGCCGGGAGAATCACTGGTGAAGTGAAACTTGCGCTGGAAGTAGCGCTTGATACAGTTGACATCACGGTCAAAGTACATCTCCGCATTGGGGTGGTCGATCGACACCATCTGCGGGAAATCAATCATGACTGGCACCAGCCGGATATTCTCGTCATCCTCGTCACCCTCACGGCCCTTCCCCTTGGCATCCGGGTCCTCCTCTTCCTTGATAAGAATGTTGAACTCGTTGAAGTCACCGTGAATCAGACCAAACCGCGCCAGCTGCACGATCATATCCATCAGCTCCGAATACAGTGATGCGGGGTTGGCGACCTTGGAGATCTGTCGTAGCGGAAACGCATCGATCAAGCTCATGACGATTGTGTGGCGGTTCTGGGCAATAGGCTCGGGGACTGAAAAGCCATTCTCTCGGAGGGCTTTCATAAATGCATATTCCTTCATCGCGGCAAGGCGCGACATGTACATCCACGAGCCTGTGCTACGGTGTCGGAGGTAGTCGCGGTTTGTCTTGACGGTGCGGAAAGAGATACGACCGAGACGGTGGATCTTCAGAATGCGCTGTGTTCCCTCGTGGCTGGCGACGACGATAATGTCGGATTCCTTGCCAACGCCAATCTGGTTGCCGACAGAGTAAATGCACTTTTGCTTCTGGTGGGCGTTGAGGGCGAGGTAGTCGAGACCTCCGTAGGTGAGACGATATCCATCATCTAACAAGCACATGTCAGTAAATGATTCGCCTATACTCAATTCCGTATAGCAGCAAAGGCGACAACCGTACATTTCGCATTCTTGACCTTAGCGATCAGGTTGGTCTTGGCGAGGTTGGAGATAGACCGGTGCACTCCGCTACCACCGCGGAGGCCAGCAATCTGCGCGATCAAAGGCGTGGGTACGACCTCATGATTTCTGCTTCCGGTTTCAACCTGCGACACAATTCTGTTAGCTGTCAGACAGCACGCTGCGACCAGAGGGCGGGGGAGGGGCATACCGCGGAGAGCACGCGGAAGTCCTCAGACGTGAGGTAGCGGATCGCTTTCGGATCGAGCTTCATGATGTAGTGTATTCGATGCCGTAATCAGCTCACAAAATAAGCTACGGACTGCGTATAGCGTGGAGCGTGAGTCTGCGCTGTCGATGAAGGCGTCGACCACTGCATTGATGCGCGGAAAAGTCAAGATGCCGCTGCCCTATGCCCTAGTTTCCTATTTTGGAGGCCTCCAAGGTCCTACAGAGAATATAGTCCAGGATAGCTAGATGTTCAACGAATATACCGAACCTAGAATAAGAGAAGTGTAACAAATCCCCATATTAGTGATGGATAGTAGAACCGATGATCTGCCTGATGCATGAATTCTGAAGTCGCTCATCGCTTTCTGATTCGCGTGTACTAGTACTGCAGGAGTCTAGCGCTACAGAACATAGTATTATATATATCTACGGACGGTGTCAAGGAACAACGCTTGAATCACTCTATGATATAGTGTAATAGTACTACTAGTTATCATTAACCTTATCGGCGAAAGAACCTATTTCAATTGAGGTTTCTCAGACATATATAAGCCTAGAAATCATACTAGCAATGATCACCCGTGCCACATCCACCAGTTCTAATTGATAGATCGAACATAATGACAATCGGTGCCTGCTATTTTCCAATTCGTGCTGATTACATGAAATCACAGTACCTGAGCAATATGCCCCTTGCTCAGCTCACCCACAAAGTCGTGTCACGTCGAAGGACCCTTAGACCGAGTCGGAACTTTCCCAGTTGGGGTTCTGTCATAGCATTAGCATTATGCTTCATCATATTAGTAGTACGGAAGATTTACCTTGCGCAAGATGACCAGACCCTCCAGGGTGCTGCTAAGAGGAATGTACTGCTCGTCTTCGAGCTCTGCACGTTCGCCATAGGCCAGCAGCACCGGCGTGCTCTGTGTTTGCCAGCCGGTGATGGTCTTGGGGCGACCCGCCTGGCCAACAACGTCCACAGCCTGACCGACCCGGACATTGACGGTGAGAGGCTGCAGGTCTTCGTCGAGCGTGACAAGGAAGCGTGGGTACATGGCGGTGATGAGGAAGTAGAGGAGGTAGTGGTGTTCGGCGAGGACGAATTGCTTGGCATCGATCATGGACACCAGGACGGTGAGCAGGCCTGCGGCTGATACGCGCGAGAGGACCTGGCGGTCTGTGTGGAAGGGGTTCAGGGTCATTGTACCCTTGCCCATGTGCAAGAGACCTTGGGCAATGCGGACCATGAACAAAGTGTTCTGGTCGCGGTGGTAATAACTGGCCAGCTGCCTAAGCAGCTGTGCCAGACGGGCGTTCTTAGTACCAGCACCGCAAAGACCCATGGCAAAAATGGCGTTGATTGCGACATCGTTGTCGGTATCGTGACTGTACCGGGACAGGGTGTCATAAACCTTCATCTGAGGGTTGCTGGGTGTGATCAACCCCATAGCAAGGGGAACAGCCTTGCGGATGTTGCTGGCGCCGTAGTGCATTAGGTGGCCGAACTGCCGCAAGATCATATCCTGTCCGACCTCCTCACCCATAGCAATAAGTGACAGACCCAGAACAGCATACGACTGGACAAGCTCATCACCCTTGTTTTCCTCGGTCTCATCAATGATATCATTGCAGATGTGAAGGAGCTCCTGCAGTTTCAGGACGGTGCCAGTACCCGCCCAGGCGCAGACCGAAGCGAGGACTGAAGTCGGCTTGGCCATAGGGTGATCGACCGCCTTCAGGATGTCAAGGATGACGTCGACCTCCTCCTGACGACCGAAGTACAGGAGCGCCAGACCCAGGGCCATGAAGCGAGTCCACTTATCCTTGAGGTGCTTCTGCCGCTCTTCGTCCATCAGTGTGGTGGCAATGGCCTCACTGACCTGGTGGTTAGAAGATCCCACAAAGATAAGACCCAGGGATACAGCTGCCATGGCAGACAGCTGCATGTCCAAGGACCCATCCTCAACAATGGGGAGTAGGACCTCAAGCAACTCCTCCTTGTTTGATCCGGCATAAGCCAGACCAAGACCCATGATAGAAGCAACTCTCATGGGCACACTCTTGGCCTCGAGATTGTCGGGGTCACTGAGAAGAGCCAGAGCAGGGTCGGAGTCTATGCGCACTCCAGAGTTGAGGATACCGATAGAAAGCAATGCACCAGCCTTGATCTGATCCTCCGAGGCATAGGTATACCTGTCGATCTTATCCAGACCAATCTCGACATCCCTGTGCAGAAGCATACCCATCGAAGCCGTTGTCGACAGCATGCCGTCATCCTTTGTCTTCCAGACCCAGGGGCCCTTGTCACCCTCCACAAGCATCATCTTATCGTTGCCATACCCAGCGTTGGCGAATGCGTTGACGAAGGCACTGGCAAGATTGTGCCTGGCGGAGTCGACATTCGTAAGGCCAGCACCGCGGCTGCTCTCGAGGTGCGTCTTGTAGATGTCTTCCGGCATCTGGGGATCAAGGATGTTGAGCTCCTTTCCAAGAGACTTGAAGTGCTTGGGGATGGAGGTGTTGTTCAAGCAGTCCATGAAGGACTGGTCTTCCTCTTCCTCAGGCAGGTCAAGCCATATTTGTTGCCTGGAAACAAGGAACGCCATCTGCTTCTTGAGGGACCTGTCCGAAGTGGCATTGAGATCGCTCTTAATGAGGTCAATGTCGTTCAGACGGATAGCAAGAACAATGGCCTTGGTGAGCTCCTTGTAGCGGACATAGATCTCATGGGCGGTGCGAAGGAATTGCTGGTCTTCGGGGTATGTGAGGAGATTGACCATGCTGACCATGTACAAGCAGACCCTTGCGTATGTGTTTTCGTCCAAAAAGCGCGGGATCTCCTCGATGATCTCAAGCTCACTGAGAAGGTCGACGGCATCGGCTTCGGCGTTGTGGCTCAGGAAGTACGGAACAAGAGACAGCGACAGATCAATCAAGTCCTGTACATCCTTTTCAGCATTCAGCCTGTTTTGGTACTCTTGACCGATTTCCAGCGCCAGGTGTCTGATGTATTCGTGGCCCCAAGAACCGAGGTCTTCGGACTTGGTGAGAAGGCGGTACTTTAGGGTCTCGAGCTTCTCCTCATCTCCGTAGGTCATGCCAAGAACTGAGAGCATATCGGCCAGCGAGTCCTAGAGAGACATGCATGGTTAGGTTGATAGAAGGGTCTGCATGACGGGCAACGAACCTTAACCGGGCCAACTGCCCACTTGTCATAGAGCTCTGTGAGCTCATCATAATGCGGTCTTAGAAATTTCAAAGGCTTGGGAACGGCAGTCATAGAAGATGTCGAGGTCTTGATGAAGTTCTTAATTGCGTCCAAGGCAGGGGCGTACAACGAGGTATCGGGCTCCTAGATGGCAGGTTGAGAGTTAACGTCATCGCTCGGGACCCCAACAGAACAGCTTCATCCCCGTACCTTTAACCTCTCCACGAGCATTTCCAGCTCATTCTTCAGCTGCTGATCCTCTTCACTGAGCTCTTCTGTATAAACCAGCATGTTAGCGCCTCGGTCAGAGCACAGCATTAGCTGATGTCAGGTGCGGCATCGGGAGGTCCTCGGCCTGACTCGACATGTCCACCTACCCTCTTTCGACTCGTCATCCTTCTGCTTGCCATCGGCTTGTGGCTTCTCATCAGCCGCTGTCTTCTTTCCTCCAGACAACTCCTTGATATCGTCAACCTTGCCCTTGCCCTTGTCGGCGGGAGCTGACCGCTCGCCGTCTTGCGCCATCTCTGACGGTTATATGGCGAGTAGTCGGGATGTGTTCGGGGACGCGGGTAGACGGGATATTTGGAAAACGCGAGTGATGAGGGTGAGAGTGGGAGCTTTGACGCGATAAGCCTCCTCACTCTAAGCGATGAAGTTGGGATTGGGTTATAAGCTTGTTGATGGGAAGCAGAGAGAGCTCGCTCTTCGTCGCCGCTCGGGCGTTGCGCTCCTGTGGAGCTCCCACCGCTTATGTAAGACAGCGCCCGCCAAGAGATTAACTACTGCAATTTCAGCCTTAAGGCATCTATTGGAATGTTCTACCAGAGTAGTGATAACGGCATAACTTGATTTTTGAACAAAGTTACATAGGGTATGAGCCGCAGCTTCTTATAGCCCCAGATCATGCCTCCTTACATGCAGAAAAATTCATCCGCTCAAACAAAATAAGCCCCCTGAACCCGTTTGGCTGCTGAGGCTTTCATCGGAACATCCCCCATACCGAGTACGGAACCATTCCCTGTACTCATCGAGGCCCCGGCTATAAGCATAGCCAGAAAGCTTTTCACCGGTGTAGGATAGTAGTGGCAAGTAATCAATGCTAGGCAGCTTGAAGGAAAATCGTTCAAGAAGCGGCATTACTGTTGAGGCTCGACTCAGTGGCTTCTCAACGACACCGAGCCCCTGCGCAGGACCTGGTGTAAGCGGCTTTGAGGGATCTGTTATCGCTTCTGGTGACGGTTCGGTGACCTGAGGCTGATCATCCTCGACGAACTCTTCGGGGACGTGGTATAGTTCGTTGTGCACCGTAGCAAGGGTAAAACTCCCCTTGGCAGGAAATGTCGGGTAAAGCATGTAATACCCTCTGCCTCGGATAAATTCAAGGAGGTACTCCATCACGGCGGGGTATTTCTTCGATATGAGCTTCTCCTGCGGTGATTGCTGCCCCATAATTTCCTGGACAATGAACCGATTCGATAAGAACTCGTGAAATTCGGCCCACTTATCGCCGAAATATAGAGCTGCATTACTGTTGGGGGCCTGCCAAAGAAATAGAGGCAATGATTCCCCATCGCCCGGGCTGGAGACATGGTTGCTGTCAGCTTCTGGTGGTTCGAATGGTTCGCCGTCAGTCACATGAGAAGAGGGAAGCTCAAGCGAGATGCCAATAAGCTTGGTAGACAGCTGTTTGGTGCGGGAATGCTTGTATTTTAGCATGGTATACATCAAGTAATGATAAAATGATGGGGCTAGCTCCGTCTGTGGAGAGAGCACAAGCACATGGGACACAGCTGGGTCCCTAGGATAGAAGGCCTCAACAGTCTTCAAGGAGGCTTCGGCGGAGTTCATGTCATGTGGCTGGATTCGACGGCGGAGAGTGACCTTTCCAGAAGAGTGAGGAGGCCATTTTATAGACTTAATGTAGCGAAGGAGCTCTGGGTCTACTTGAGGGGGCAATTCAATGGTCAAGCTAGGTGTCCCGCCGAGATAGTCCGCATTTTGCAACGTCCGGATTAACCTGATCAGGGAACCCGAGGACTCAGAAGGAGCATGGACGAGAAATTCAATTTGGACGTTATTCCAGGCTGTGAAGACATTAGCACAGAGCTAGACATTAACCGACAAAATTTCGAAGGTTACCTTGAAGGGCGCCACTGTCCAGGGTAGACATCCACATGAGATCCCTTGCTGCGCTAGGGAGAGAGACATGAGGTACACCTGATTCATCTGTCCAGCCTTGAACGCCGCGCCAGAAGAAGTGCTCTTCCATCGGCTCGCCCTGTGTCAGGATCACTTGCGGAAGGAGGTAGGAGCGAACATAAGTGAGACCCGCCACTACCGCTCTCTCCATACGGGCATCTGTTGACCATTGTGCATAGTCTGGCCTAGCATCTGCAGAACAAATAAATGAGTACCTTGAGGAAGATGATGGTGGATTGACACCTAGCAAAACGTACCATGCCAGTTGACTGGGCAATTCGCATCATCTATACCATTGACCCGCTGAATACCTTCGATTGACACGTCGTCCCTTCCCAGCAGCACCATGTGTACTTCGTTGAGCCTTCTCCCTGCCATTTGACAGGCAAGAGGAAGAAGATCCGACACACTTTCCAAGCTTGCAGCAGCAAAGACAACGGCGTGACTGGTTGGCTTCTGATAGCGCGAGACTTGTCCTTGAAACCGATGTAGTGACTTAGCCAAATAGTAGAAATTGATTTTTCCATTGTAATAGAGCTCATCACTAGGTCTTGCGTCGGCTTCGCTTCGCTCGGGAGGGCCTTGCGGAGGAGCGCCAGATGACGGAGGTTGAAGCTCCTGCTGCTGCTGCGATTGCTGTTGTTGCAGGTGCTCTTGCTGTAACCGAAATGCGGCCTGTCGCGCATGAGCAAATGCAGGGTTGAACCGCTCCGGAGCAGGAGCAAGATCAGTTGGCATATTTTTGAAGAACAGATATAGCAAATATAGAGCCACAATGCCTAACACGAATCGTCGCGGCCGAGGTGGCTTCCATTGTTTTGAGCGCCATGGTTGGGTATGGGTTGTCCGGAGTCGATGGTCATCGTCCTTCTTCCCAAGCTCCTCATCTGCCAAGAATGGCCGTCTGGAGGGCCACATCATTCAAACATAAGAATGGCTGCTCCGTTGGAGCTGAAGCGAGAGATGCAAGCATTGAAGATAGGGGTGGAAGAACAAGGAATGGGATGGGTATGGAATCTTGAGGGGCCACGCGGTGGAGGTTCGACGGTTGCGGGATGAACGCGGCTACTAATCAGTCATGGGCTCTCCGCAGCTTATCTCCGATCCTTCAGCCAGTCTTTCTCCACCGCCTCCAGTCAACATCCATTGCTTCTAGAAGCCTGCCAGGTTAATACATCTAGCTGAGGTCAAGCTATAGCTGAGATCTCATGAGCTAACAAACTTCTCGTCATTTTCGGTGTCACGTGCTTCCAGCGGGTGAATATTAGCTCTATATCAAACTCGTGGCTCAGAACAATTCCTATAGTTGTGCAGAATCTGGAACGGCAACATTTTTGCTGATTCGGTTTGTTTGCTATAAAACCAAACCATGGATCAACAGATGGATTTGGACAATATGGAGCCTCGAGGCACGAAGAGGTCTGCAGAGGACAGTGAGGAGCCACAGAGGCCGAAGAGAATTAAAGTCAGTTCCCACTTCTTGTCGTATTTTCGCTTAGGTATTGACACTACATAGGCCTTAGATCCCGATGTTGTAAACAAAATTGCTGCAGGGGAGATTATCGTGGCTCCTATGCATGCGTTGAAAGAGCTAATCGAGAACGCTGTCGATGCTGGATCGACATCGATCGAGATTTTGGTGAAAGACGGTGGATTGAAGCTCCTGCAGATTACTGACAATGGCCATGGCATCGACGTAAGTAGAGCGAGCAAGATCGTCCAGCGATAAAGTGGCTGATTGTGAGATACAGAGAGATGACCTGCCCATTCTGTGCGAGAGATTCACAACATCCAAGTTAAAGCAGTTCGAAGACCTTTCATCCATAGGCACGTACGGTTTTCGAGGTGAAGCTTTGGCAAGTATTAGCCATATTGCCCATCTGACTGTGACCACAAAAACTGCTGGGTCCAGCTGCGCATGGAGAGCACACTATAGCGATGGAAAGCTTGTTCCCCCTAAACCTGGACAGAGTGCTGCGCCCAAAGCAACCGCGGGACGCGGCGGCACGCAAATAACAGTGAGTGAGATATCAGTTCTATCTTTGAGGCTACAACAGCTCATTTGGCTCCCAGGTAGAGGACCTGTTCTACAATGTACCGACAAGACGTCGGGCTTTCCGATCAGCAAGTGAAGAATATGCCAAAATCCTCGATGTAGTTGGTCGATACTCCGTCCATTGCTCAGGCGTGGCCTTCTCCTGCCGCAAGCATGGTGATTCAGGCGTCAGTGTCTCCACTCCAGCAGCTGCAAATACAATAGACCGAATTCGTCAAATTCATGGCAGTGCAGTCGCCAACGAACTTGTCGAATTCAACATTGAAGATGAAAAGCTGGGGTTTCGCTCATCTGGCTTTGCCACGAACGCAAACTACCATGTCAAAAGAACTACCATACTTCTTTTCATCAACCACCGCTCGGTCGAATCCACAGCCATCAAGCGAGCAGTTGAGCAAACATACTCCAGCTTCCTCCCCAAAGGAGGCCACCCATTTGTCTACATTGACCTCGAAATTGAACCACAACGTGTCGACGTCAACGTACATCCCACAAAGCGCGAAGTGAATTTCCTCAACGAAGACGAAATCATCGAATGCATCTGCAACGAGATCCGCTCCAAGCTGGCCCAAGTAGACTCAAGCCGGACCTTCCTAACCCAAACCCTCCTCCCAGGTGTAACAACAATGGAGCCCGCAAACCGCGACCCTGAAGGCACAGACACCGTACCCAAAACACCATCCACGACCAAAAAGCCATATGAAAACAACCTCGTCCGCACCGACTCCAAAGTCCGCAAAATCACCTCCATGCTCACCCCCGCCACACCACACACGCCCACAGCCTCCCAAGCAGACACGACCGTCCTCGACGAAGGCCTCCAATACGAAACCACCTCCCGCGAACCCCACCGCATCAGCTTCACATCCGTGAAGAACCTCCGCGCCTCCGTACGCAACGCAATGCACAACACCCTAACTGAAACCATCGCCTCCCACACCTACGTTGGTCTCGTCGACGAACGCCGCCGGATCGCGGCCATCCAATCCGGCGTGAAACTCTACCTAATCGACTACGGGATGTTCTGCACCGAATTCTTCTATCAGATCGGCCTTACAGACTTTGCCAACTTCGGAGTCATCAAGCTGTCCCCACCACCCAAACTCATCGACCTTCTCCGAATCGCCGCAGACACCGAACGCAGCCAATCCTCCCAAGAATCAACAACAACAGAAGAAGCCAACGAAATCTTCACCAACGCCCCCGACCTCGTCGCTGAAACCCTCATCGACCGCCGCGAAATGCTAAACGAGTACTTCTCCCTTGACATTTCGCCAGAGGGGGACCTTCTCTCCATCCCCCTCCTCCTGAAAGGCTACCTCCCCAGCCTGGGAAAACTCCCCCGATTCCTCCTCCGACTAGGTCCATATGTCGATTGGGCAAACGAGGAGGAATGCTTCCGCACGTTTCTGCGGGAGCTTGCGGCTTTTTATACCCCTGAACAGTTGCCACCGCCTCCGAACTTGCAGAATGGTAATGAAGCAGAAGGGGAGGGAGAAGGGGAAGATGAGTTTATTACGCAGAGACGGGCGCAAATGGCGCGGATGCTGGAACATGTGGTTTTCCCGGCTCTAAGGGCGCGGATGGTTGCTACGACGCGGCTGCTCCGGGGGGTGGTGGAGGTGGCGGATTTGAAGGGGTTGTATAGGGTATTTGAGCGGTGTTGAATTAGCTGAACAAGCCGATAGTATGTCATTCATGGGTGTGAAAGAGTGTATCTAGTAGTCAGGAGTAATGAGTACGTGACTACATCTGGCTAGCTTGTTGAAGAAAGGTATCAATAATATGATAACTGCTGGATAATTCTGAGACTACTAGTAACTTTGTTCAGTTATACAGATACAGTCTTTAGTAGTTAACCATGACAAAGATACATTAGTCATACAGTCTACTACTCGTACTGTAATAGAATCCAGCCAGGTTCAAGTTCACGCATTGTTCGGGCATTAGACTTCGAAAATGGCATTTAACAGAGACGACGCGCGTCCGAGCAGCGTAAATATACCAGGATCAAACCCAACATTAATGGCAGTAAGCAGATCAAACCGTTCAACGATAGACATGCCGATTCCTAAGCCAAGCCACGATAACGCCGCCCTGGAAAAAGCCCACACATACACACAACACTTAGCATATATTTGGTCGCGTAAAAAACATCGCAGTGCCATTAGATTATGTCCCCTCAAACGCCCAAAATCAACAAATGGTGAAGAAGAAAGTAGATCGTTTAGCTGTTGTTCGTGCCCTCATGTCAAACATATCGGTCATCATCATATCTGTTGTCTTTCGTTTTGTCGCAGGAGACACGGTTTGTCTCCCTATAAAGGATACACGGCGGAATGTGGCGAGTGGGGCACAGCTCCCAAAGGTCACACTTCTGCAAGCTTCCTGCATGATTGAAGTCGCTTTCACTGTCTAGAATAGGGTTTGTTCATCAATGCGATCTCACGAGCCACGGTAGCCCACTCTAATTCCCGTCTTGCAGGCTTGTTTCGCTTCTGTAATTGTAACTCCTCCCATTTAAGAAGCTCGTAGCTAAATAAGCGTTAGTTAATAAAGTCCACGAAGATGCTTAGCAGGTGTAGAGCTGGAACTTACACAAATCGTAGATGAGGCTGAATGATTACGTTAAGCCTTCGTGCTCGGACAAAACAGCTGGGGCAAAACATTAGCGGAAGTCGCATGCGATATTGATCGACTGGACCTACTATGCTCTGGGGAACGAGAGGCCTAATGACGCCATCACCTCGGCAATACAGATTGTCGCTGAACGTGAGACGCCCACGCGACAATGCACTAAGGTGGCCATCCCGTCGTGCTTTCCTTGTCCTAAACGACCAATCTTAGTAAGCATTCATTGCATGGGTGTCAACAACATATCAACTTACGGATGAAGTCCAGACAGCGATCGAATTCCTTTGTCAACTCATCGATTCCATTGTCCTGAACATTAGTGATGTGTAGGATATCCTTCTCGTCCACCTTAGCAGAAGTGCTGCTCCACGAAACGGTTTCGCCTATGCTGAGGATGCGCTTGATCCCTAATGCGGAAAGCATCTCTGGGTTGTTGGCATGGGACAAGTTACCCAGGTACATGTACGGCAGAATCCGACTTGGAAGGGAACCATCGCAATATCTGAACCAAGCGGGATCAGGAAGGCTTCTGATCTTGTGTGATCGAGTTGCAGGGCTTTCCTGCAATAGTCGTCTTTGTACGCCGCTCATGAAGGTTATATCAGACGGGTAGGCAAAGAAATTCCGCTTCTTCTCACAATGCAGTCTGAGCCAAGCATTCGGAGCCGAAATGCCCTCTGCAAACATCAAGTAAGCAATTGCTAGCAGTGAGCTTTCAGTGTAGCCGTCTGGACAATGGATGAGGATTTTGCGCGCTGTCTTGGTGAGGGGGATCATTGGAATATCGCCGTCTGCATCAGCCTTTTGGTCTGGCTCATCCGGGTTGGCCAAGTAATAGATCCAGCGGACCGTGTTCACCAGATCATCGATCTCTCTGGTTTCACCTGAAGGCAAAAGGATCGAACCGGACGAGGGAAACTCCAGCTTCTGTGGGCCTTCTTCGAGTTGCTTATTGAGATTTGCCAAAAAGCGCGGGCCAGGAATGCTTGCGAGCTCGCTAGCCTCGATCAATAGATCGAAGTTCTCGGTAGGTGCAGGCCCGCAAGACCCAGGCCGTAATAGGTAGTCGGGTGTAGGGCCAAGCCAGACATTGGTTGAAATTTCGGAGGCTTTGGACATCTCACACATCTCCAACCGTTCCCACTGGACTAGTGACATGTTAGACTGGAACCAGAGAACATCGGTATATCGCTTACAGAAATCCACGACCTGCCCCGTAAGCTGGCCACTGGAACTGATAGCCACCAGGTGCGACGCTTTCTTCTCAACCTCGGAAAAGGCACCTAGAGATTGATTAGCTCGCGTAACCCGCAATCGGAACCCATGTTACTCACAATCTAGAACAAAGGTATTATAAGCGGGAGAGTTACGGTCCGGATCGTTCTTTATCCTCCAATTATGCTGTGCCGTTGCCATTCGCCTTGCAATATCCAGAATCTGTTGCTGGGTTGCACTGTTCTCACCATAGACGATAATGTCAGATAAGGGTGCCAACTTTGCGGTCTGTATCTGGAAGTTGCGCACTGACAAGCCTTCCCGAGGGTCAATCGCCAGGAACTCCACTCCCGACGGGGCCAAAACTTCCTCTGGAGATACCGCACCCTTGATCCTGCAGGAGGACAGATCACCACCGACTTTGACAATGGTGATACCCCGCCAACACTTTGGAGTTCGACGGAGAGAACGTTTTCCCTTCGTAAAGAATCCCACCTGCAAGTGATTATCTGGATGAAGACCGTGCAGCCATGGAAATACCAAGTTAGGATGTGGCAGCGGCTGGGCGGCCAAATGCTCCAAAGAAGCGGACAGGGTTTTGAGGTCGATTGTATACACCGTAGGTGAATGAGTCAGTCGACGGGATTTATCGGGTGGATATAAGAGCGACGAGGTCTGATCATTAGAACTGTCTTTAACAGGTGGAGAAGGTGCATGAGCATTAATTGGAGATGGACCCGTGGGGCAAACAGGTATATGCTTGTTGGGGATGGGAGACGAAGTCCTGTTCAGACTCAATGCGGGAGTCAAGCCCGTCGGGGGAGGGGTCGAGTGTCGCAGCGTCTGCTGCTGCACCACAACTGTGGCCATAATTTAAGAAGAATCCTTCTATACTTCGTGTACCCCTGCGATAAATATCACCTGCGATGGACTCTATCCAATATCCTGACAGTGCAAACGAGGCCAATCAATAGCGCATTCCTTAATTTTTGGAAGACCGTGCAGGATGTCACGCGCGTATGCAGTCACCAAGGAGCAACTCGGTTCTGTATTTAGATAAAATTAGCACCTGTATCTCAGACTAGAGGCTCAACAACGCGTATTGTTTTCTGCATAGGAAGGGGGGCGATGGGAGTGGGGTTCCGATGACATACTCCCCACAAACACCTAACTCTAGAGCATCTAAACCAGGCGAAAGTATGTCTGGGAACCAAGAATCATGAAGGAGATGCGATGTGTGAATTCGCAAGTGATGAAGAACAGACAATAGGTGATAGATACACGGCAGCGTAGATCATTAAATGGGGTAGAAGCCAATTAATTGGGAATGGAATGGGGAAGAGAAGGTTACCCACAGCAGATAGCAAGCTAAGATACGCCCAACCCCACAATGATAAAGGGAACCAGAAACACGAGAACCCCAAGGCGATCCAGAAATGAGTTGGATGTGGGGGGGAAGAGTGGGAAGAGTGGAAAGTGTAAATGACGATGAAGTCAGCGAAAGATAAGGGTAGGAGATAAGGTGAAGCTAAGTAATAACCCAACAGAAGTGAATCAAGAGGGGGAAGGGAGGAATGAAGGTGATCCTCGGGTGGAGGGGGAAGACGACTTCTTGAGGGTAGAAGACGTGGAAAGGGAAGACTAGAAATTGAGGAGAAGACGAGAAGGAGGAGGAGAGAGGAGAAGAGGAGGCCGAGAGGAGGGGAGAGGGAAGGTTGTACTACAATAAGAACTACTAAGTACTTAACTAGCCAGGGAGAGGAATCCCAATAATGCAGGTCAAGTCAATCAATCCAGTATGGGGGTGGGGAGGGGGGGAAGAAGGAAAGGAAACGCGCGGTGGGCCTCCGTCACTAGTGGCCACTTAGTCCCGCCGTAGCGCCGCTCCTCTTCCATTTCCCTCCAAGAAAGAAATTCAAATCATCATTCCATTTACTGCAGTATCCCGGTGCATCGATCTTCCAATCTATCCCAATTGATTGTGATGGTCCTTGCTGCCACTTCACTTCTACAGAAATCAGATTTTTGTCTCATCTGCTTCTCATGCAGCCCCTCCCGATCATCTACTGTGTGGTAGATAGCAGGAACCTTGGCCCGACCTTTGTCGTCACCATCCGCCATACCTTGATTTCGGGCAGAAGGTCCCCACATCCGGCCTGTCCAAGATGTGTTAGGATAAGATAGATAATACAGCTTGCCCGTTTGCGGCCAATGATTCCACCCTCCCCTTCTCCTGCTCAACCACCCCCCCGCTCAGGCAAATCTCACTGATTACAGCCCTGAATATGCTGTGCGCTGCTACACAATAGGCTGGGCTGCTTCGATACTCTCGGGTCGTCTCAGGATTAAACCCCCACACCCCCCGGGAGTCTTGACGCCAACACCTCTAGTGTAACGCCCAATAGGGCCTTGAAGCAGTGGCCTTCCGGCTTAGGACCGCAGATACGGCGACACAAGGCAAGGTGCGGTACCGCTGCTCTGCCGAATGAGAGGTCGTTGGTGGACAGCAGTGGCAGGTCCGTCAAACTCAGTCTGGGTGGTCAGGCTTTATGATTGGCATCCACGCACGTCCCGTACCCTTCTCGCCATCGATCTCTTTGACAACGGTCGCTGACAGGGACCCGTGGTTCTTGTCAAGTCATGCGTCTGCCCACCCCCGTCTCCAATTAATCACCCAACCACAGCCGGGGTTGCGGACTCATCTGAACGACATGACATCTACATTACAAACCCATCAAGTGCAGATGTACCCCTGGGTATATGCGTGACCATCCTGGTATGCATGTCTTTCTTTTGACCTTTCCCCAAAATTTAATGCTGTTTGCCTTTTCTGCCCCTTTGCTGTAGTAGACAGACTTTGTTGCTTCTTTGGACTTCTTTGCGTACTACTGTACTTCCTGTTTGCTCATGTACATGATTCTGTCTCGTGGGGGACCTGCATGTAGTATGCGTTGTAATAATGTAGCGCACTCCCCCTGGTTCTACGAAGTGCAGCTCACTGCCATGCAGAGCCATCTACATGCCTGAGATTAGGCACGCGACACTGAGAGAGGGTCTGTGGACAAGCATCGTCCCATAAGCCGTAAAATTAAAGTATCTTGAGGCCGATCCAACGTTGACCGGATACAGTAAGGCTTTCCATGCTATCGCCTGAATCTACTGGGTAGGTAAACAGCAACAATCATCCCTATCACAGTATCACCAGTTTCTTCTGATCTTCCATTGATATGGCTTCTACGGTATTACTTACTGCAGATCGGGCATCGGTCAGCCACAGCTAAGTTCTCCCGACCGTGTTGCGCTGGCTGTAACCAACCCGAACCAAGTGTCAAACCAGTGAGTGCACGGGCGTGTCCATCTCGTCCCCACTTCGGCTTTTCCCTGGAAGCCAAGCTTAAACCGGGTATCTCTCCGCAGAACTCAGCCCCTCCTCCCACCCAAAATCGCTCCTTCTGCCTACTCCACCACCCACCCGTTCACTCGGTGTTACTTGACTCCTCTACCACGTGCCTCTCGCCTTGCTGAAAAGCGGCCCGATCTTTCACACATGCAACCTGCCTGCATCGTGAGGCAGTCAGTTGTTGAGGGGGTCAGACAGAATGTGCAGTTCTGAATACAGGGCCAGGCTCTGAGAGTCAGACAAGTCGTGCCACCTTGCTTTCAAAAGATATCGTGGCGAGTTTGATAGACTGCCAACTGGCGATTGATACCAGCCGGCCAACCCAACGTTTTCGGGTCAAGGCTGGAAATTTCATTAATCTATGCTTCGGCCTTGTCTCTGAGCTCCTTTGCAAGTCTCAGCAAGTAGAAACGAGCCATGTCAGGTGGGAGGCCATCAAAAGACTTTGCCATCTTCTGAAGATCGATCCTCGCTTTCTCATATGCTTGCAAATCACGGTTCCCGTAGACATCCCGACCAGCTGCATATCCTTTCGATAAATTGCGAAAGAAAACATTCACGGCCACACTGACCTGGCCAGTCGGAGATGCAGTGTGTAACCACAACGGGGGAATGAACAGGATGTCGCCACGACGCATAACCGCTTCATGTGGCGTTGTGTACGGCACCGAAGCAATTGAACCGTCTACTGAATTCTGGAATATGTTAAGGGTGGAGCTTGATGCCCCAGCAGGGACCTGAAGGTATTGCACATCACTAGGGGGGAAGAGAATGAGTCTCTTCTCGCCACGGATCTGACACAAAACATTTGCCATGACCTGGAAATAGTCAGTGCCTCACTTCTGCATGTATTTGTTCACATGCACACTCACATCGTAGTGCAGCCACAGGGTGACTGGTCCAGAGATCCTGAGTGGAGAACTGTGTTCGTTCTCGACAACCATAGCAAAAGACTCGGGGAGTCGGAAATCATCCTTGAGATTGGGGAAATCTACGGCTAACTTGGCAGGTTGTTTGGTGGGCTCTTCAGTGGAGATACTTCTAAGATATTGACGGCCACCCGCATGCACCTCGTCCAGGAAGGAGCCGAACTCCTTGGTTGTGTAGGAGAAATTCTTCGCTTGGAAACTCATATGGTCGGACTGAGCGTCATGTACAACAACCTATCGAGAGGCTCTTAGCCAGTTTCTTCACGGCAAGCAGGGTCGGTGGCTTCTACCTTGCGGTCCCTGCCAACAGCATCCGCGAGATACTCCTTTGTCCAACGCTCCGTGCACGGACCAAGGTCGGATCCTTCGATGATTACTGGTTTCCCTTCCACTAGTATCTGTTGGAATTGCGCGGCGGTTTCAACCTTAACACGGGGAATCGGTGTGACGCCCTTGGTGCTCTGTTGGTCCACATTGGATGGCTCGACCGATGGCTCCTCAGCTTTCAACGGTTCCGCAATCTCAGAGACTCGACCCCACTCGTTCTCAAGAGCTGTGTCAGTGTTCTTTAGAAGCCAGGTGCCTTCAGTCCAAAAGGTTCCAAAAGAGAAACAAACTGCACCACCGCCCAGCAGCAGAACCTGGTTCGGATCGATAGCATAAGCAGCATGGCCGACCAGTAAAGGTCTTGGCCCACCAAAGTTCAGACCAAGCCCTACTGCAGACAATATATTACCAGACTGCGACGCACAATCGCTAGTAAGGCACTCGACAAGTGCTTTCGTATTCAGAAGCATGATTTCCTTCTCATAGGGCACGATTTGTCGAGGGATTATACCGCCAAGAAGAAGCAACCCCCGAGAGGAGCAGCTGAGAGTGGCGCCGAAGCGGCTGAGATATTCAAATGTGGGTGAAGCTTTCTGTAGCCTCTCTGTGCCATCGTGCAATTCCAGATAGTACGATCCATTGCTGCGCTGGTGCAACTTCCACGTCCAGAAGTCTTCCACGATAGTGCCATCCGCTCCAATTCCTCCGAAAAGGATTCCCGACGTATTGTCTGTGCTTGCCAGGCAGGCCCCGAACCTAGCACTGGGGCTTCCATTGACCGTTTCGACTGTTTGCCACCCGTCTTCTCTGCTCCATAGCAACCAGGTATCCAGGGTCGTGCCATTGCTTGTTTTTCCTCCATAGACCAAGACATAGTCTGAGCTCAAAGTGACTCTGATCGCACTATGTCTGAACCGCTCGACTGGGAGGTTATGTGTCGGACGCCACTGGGTTCCCTGTCTTAGCCAGCAATCCTTGAGACCAGCAGCTGGTGAAGCCCGGCCACCGACAAGTAAACAATCGCCACCAGATAGCTGTGTTACGGTATGACACATCCTAGCTGGGACATCGCGGGAAGGGACAGGCAGGGTAGGACCGGTGACGTCGTTTGTGTTCGCGTACAGATCCGTCGTTGCTAGTCGCGTCTGCCGTCCGAGCCCGGCATGGTAACCGAAAGAGTTTGTGCCATCTGGAATAAGCGCTCCGAACCTGCGTTGGCCACCCCCCGCCGGGTACTTTGCAAGAAGCGCATACTGGTTGGACACATCGACTTCCTGTTCGGACTGCAGAGTCTTTGCTGCGCCGCGATCCGAGCCCCCTTGTGACGTAGAGGCGACGAGAAGGAAGTAATGGGAAGCAAAAAGTGCGAATTCTTCCCATTCGTCGAATGGCTCCACAGCATCCAAGGAGGATCGCAGCGAACTGCTCACAAATTCGTCATCCGACCAGAGATCCCACAAACTTCTGGCGCTTGCCTGCTGCCATCCGGCGTTCCTGAATCGCTGTTCTTGCTCGTTGAGTGAAGGGTATTCATGGATTGAATACAGCGGTGCTCCGAGCTTCTTAAAGTGTTTCATCATGGTCGAGGCGAACGGATGATCGGGCCCGTCGGGGAAGAACTGCTCAAGAATGCAGAACTTGGCCTCTATGAGATTTGACGTTATTATGCATGCGATCAGCCAGGGAAGCCACATAGTATGGTTACCGTACCATTATTCAATTTTGACGCCCACTCGACAACCGCATTGGCGGACTTAACATCCATATAGGTCAAGGAAACCTCAGCTAGGAAGAGGACTGAGCACTCCGCAGGCAGAACCTCGGTTCTCAGCACGTCGTCCAGCTTTTTGAGATTTTTGAGATCGCATCCAATGCCTAGGTATTGTGCACTCCGTATTTGCACGGCGCTTTCGTCGGACAAGAACTCTACATCCTTGAGAACCTGTGTGATCTCAGCGGTCCTTTTGATGGCGGTCTTCTTATTGATCATGAGCTTCTCATAATCGATGTCGACGAATTGCGTATCTCTACACAGGGATGGATCTTCACTGAGGAGAATGAACGGTAGAGGATCACTACGACAATCCGTCTTAGCATACGGTCCAGGTACCAATAGTCTCTGCAACCAAACGGTTGCTTCCGGTTTGCTACGACTCACAATCCACACCCCAAGTTGAGGACAAACTTGGGTTTTCCCGTAGGCTCTCTCATAAACTGTCGCACCGACTCTGCCATCGCATGCATACGAAGCCAATATCCGCGGTTGATCAACGGCGACCGCCGCTGGGGCTTTTTGACGAAATACCGAAAGAAATGGGGCTTGGGATAGTAGAGCATTTCGACGCTGCGTTTAGATACGATACTACTATTATTGGTCTAGGATTGTTAGATGTAGCACAGGAAAGTGAAAGAAATGTAGGCGCTGGGGTGGTCTGTGTCTGCGCCAGGCGCATAGTGGGACTCCGCCATAGTAATCGCAACTTACCCCCATAACCAGATCGGCCTCCTTCTCAGCTTTAGTGCTGATTCCAGCCATGGCCGGCTTTTTCGCCGCTGCCTTGACAGCACCGGCTTCCTTGTTCGCCGTCATGGTGAAATTGGCGTTGTGCGGGGTTATTCGTAGGAAAGGGAAGAAATAAAGTGGAAATTTGCGAAAAGAAAGGCGGAAATGTCGATCAAGATGTGGCCCAAGCGTCAGGTGCTTCGCTTGCCGCGCCTGACGCAGACCGCGGCAAGGAAGAGGAACTGTTGTTCTTCCCCCGGATACCTCCGCTACCAACCAACCAAGTCGGCGTCACCTCGCGGTTGTGGAGGCGCTCGGAGTATATATACGGCGAACCGTTACTCGAGTATCAGTTGCGCAAGCGAGAGATGCAAATCAAGGCCCATCAACAGTGACGAAACCGGCTCTAACCAGGGATCTGTCTAACCCCTCCATACCCGACACTAAAGCGTGTTACTCCTCCAGACGACGTGATATCACCAAAGCTCATCCCGGAACTCTCGGTTTAATCATCACACGGCATACTGTACTGCCATATCGGTTCGATAGGAAAACAGAGTGGAGTGAGGTGTGGTCGATCCCGGTGATCGACAGAGCAACGATGTCGATGAACTTCGTGACGTTTAACCAGGACTATAGCTACCTAGCTGTGGGTAAGGCTCTTCCTGCTCCCGTCTCTTACCTTCTATACTCGTGAAATATGTCTTGACACCTGTCAGCGACTTCCAAGGGGTTTCGCATCTTCACCACGGACCCTTTCGCGAAAAGCTATGAGACGAAGGAAGGGAATATTGCCATCATTGAGATGCTATTCTCGACGTCCCTGGTTGCGCTGATCCTATCACCACGTCGCCTTCAAATAACTAATACCAAGGTTCGTAGGATGTCCTTCGCGCATGATGTTAGATTCTACCTTTTCAATAT